AACCACATTTTCAAACCACTGCATGTTTTTCAGAGGACAGCTGTTTGAGGGAAGCCTCTTGCTACCAAATGCTAGCACTTTGTTGTAAAGGTCTGCACTTGATTTAAAGAGTAGAAATACAACAGGACTTGTGGCCCAGCACTAGAAAAATCAGCAACCCTATAAATCAGCTAGCTGCTATTGATCTCAGTTTCCCCAAAAATGGTATTGGACTTCAGCATTCCTCAGGCTGAAGGGAATGAGAAATTCATTTTTGAGTGCTTGCCATAATACATATGTCAGTATTTGCCACTAACTTTCCTTCATCACAGCCATCTGCAACCCTCCCGAACAAAATCATGTGCAGCATTGTATTTAATGTTCCTGAAAGAAAAGGGAACAAGTAATAATTATTTTAAAATAAACACCAAAGGGACAAGTACTGTGTTCTTTGGCTTAATTCATATATGGATGAAATCATTTTTCTAAACAGGCCTGCCAATGTCTTGTTTCAAAGTCTGAGCCTTGGAGGAGTCCTGCAATCACTGAATGAAGTGTTGGCCATCCCTCCCTCCTCCCACCGTGCTCCCGGCTCCACGGCAGCCCAGTGAGCTGCAGACCACAGCCACCACAGCATGATGGCTAGGAGTCATGAAATATCAGCTCAGAATAAGAATACAGCATGGGCAATAAATGTGAGAGAGTGCTTGGGTGATCTGCATCAGCTGGTTCAGCTGGCTGCAGGCTTTGCCTCCATCCCAACGTGGGGCAAATGCATGTGCTAGTCACATGTTCCAGTGCATGGCTTCCCACACATGGAGAATGCTCTGTTGTTGGCTCAATGGATCCAAGAACTCTTGTGGATCAGCCTTTTCCACAGGGCAGTCTGAGGACACGTGGGTCCTCCCAAGTGATAGGAGATGGTCCTCACAAGATGCTTCCCACCCTGTCTGGCACATGAACTGCTGACAGTTGCACCACTGGGGGCTGCACTGCAGGAAGGTGTAGCCCACCACTGTGTCTAACTCCAGCATGTGTGTTTCAGCTCCTGACATGGGCAGCATTAGCCGGCTGTGTAGGTATATAATTTCTTGTGTGCATATTTGATAGGTATGTCCACTATCTCTTTCTGTGCCTCTTCCTTTCTTCCCTCCCAATCTGTCTCCCTTTTTTTGCAGCAACTTCTGTGCACCTGAAGAGACATCCCCAAAGGCACCCAGACAGCACAGTGGCAGCAACACAGAGAAGGGGTCCAAGTTGGGCATGTAGCAAAGACCATCCTGAAAATCACACCAGTCTGTCTGGACCTTAGCCCACATGAGACAGGGCCACTAGGCTAAATGTATGACGATGCTGGGATCCCTGTTGGTTAATCTAGGTCCGGAGTGGTGAAGTTCAGAGTAATGTCTTGCTTACATGTGTTTCAAATGCTTTTTTTCTTTTTTTTTTTTTTTTTGTGAAATGATGAGGTCAGGAATAATTGCCATTTGTGTGATCATGCACAGTTGCAGAAGTTGACGTGATGACCTCTGCAGTGACCTGGCCAGGCTACCTGTGTATGGGGACAGAGGATCAGGGACTTGGCAAGGACATTTGCCACCTCTTGACACCACTGTCCAGTTTAATTTTTAATTACCTCTGGGGCCAATCTCAAGATATCACCAATGCCCTCGGAGGGAGTTGCATCAGCCTGCATTCAGAAATCACCCTGAAAACTCAAACTTTGCTTTGGCATTCATTCTGATGCACATTTTGAAACTTTGGCATAATTGAGATGAAACCCTGTAACTGACTTGTGTTTTGTTTTTTTTTTCCAAACCATTATTTGATTTCTCAGAAATAGTGACTGTCTTGCCCAACAGAACATGGTATATACACTATTTATTTACTGTTTATAGGAAAATCTGCAAAACCTCTCCCATGCAAGGGGCCCATGTAATACTCCATAATTCCATAATTCCCACTTATCAAGAGTTGAAAGAAGTGAGCTTTATCTTGCCTGTCTGCACCAGGCTGACTTTCCCCTATTAGCATCATTGCTTTAGTGCTGAACAAGAATAATTCATGCCAATGAATGCTGTGCCAGCATGAGGAGCGTTTACAGACAAACCATCCTGCACTTGTAGACAGCACAGAGTTAGAATATAAATGCTTCAAAGACTTGCAGACATCTCAGTGCGAAGATGCTAATCCAATGAGCAACATCCTGAACAGATGTCTGCTCTGAAATTGCTTGTGTGCATGTTAACACTAGCAGGTGATGATCTGACCACCATGCTGAGTGTGCCTGTATGTGTGTGTGTGTATGCAGGTGTGTGTGTGAAAGAGGATAACTTTCTTGATGCTGACATTTCGATGCACAGTAGTGTTTGATGAAATGCATCATTTCCCCTAAAGAGGGACCTGATCAATCACAATAGGTTGATCTCTGTCTACCTAGTCTTAGCCACGTTAGTCAGTGGCTAGGGAGAAAATTGTTACTCCCCAGCCCGAGTAAAATGAGTCATGAAAGAAGGCAAAATGCTGGCTAGAGATCCTGTGTGAGTTTGATACAATGTTCACTATGTGTTGGAAGAGCTATTTTAAGAAGAATTTGGCCAGAATCCTTGACTTTTGATTATTCTTTTTAACTTCTCCTTGCATTTTACTGTTTCCCTGTAGCATGTTCTAAATGTTGTGTCTTGATTTATATCTGTAAATAAATCTCCTTATTTATGAAGATGTAATGTCCCTAGGGTCCAAGAGGCCCCAGCAATTCCATGTAACTGAAAGAGACATTACCTAAGTGGACCATGAATCAGAAATGGGGCAGACAGGGAGAGCTATTTTTACCAATCCTCTTGACTTACGAGGAGGTCTGCCCAAAAGGCAAGTGGGGGCAGCTGTTGGGGGGACTGGGGGATGGGAAGGTGCTAAGAATTATACCCTGGGGTATCATTTCTGAGCATTACAAGGTGCTTGGGCTGTGCTGAATTACAGAACAAGGGGAAGGGAAAAGAAAAGACAGTGGGAAAGCTTTTCATGTGCTAAGCAATAGGAAGGGCGTTCTTAACAGAGGAAGAAAGGTAGAAACTGGTGGCAGCTGCTAAAATGAGTAAGTTACTTTTTGTTGCTTGCTTGTGAGCAGCAACCTGATAGGAAGCGTGTAGCAGCGTAAGTTAGGTTGGTCATCATGGAATTACGATGAAGATTTTCTTGAAGCTTCATAGGCTTCACTTTCTTTCCTCCACTGCCCCTCTGATACCCTGAAATTAAGCCTAGTGTTAATGATGCTATTTCTGGCTAGTGTCCACAAAGACGTTACTTTTCCATTCAGGTTCTGGTTGGAGAGGTGTGGTGTGGTCCACAGCAACTCCAGGTCATGAGGAATGCAAGTTCTGTCACCCAACTTTTCTCTGTATTTATGGCCTTTTTTGGTAGGGCAGAAACCTTGTCCTAATACGAGTATGATTTCTGTTGCCTTCACTTGGGAGATTTCACAGACTAGGGATCAAAAGTCTTCTCTTGCTTATTTTATTTTTTAATTGGGATTTATTTTTGGGGAATTTGTTCTACTCGTTTGTCTTGTAATGATACTCTGCTACCTCTTCTTGGTGAACTGAAGATGAAGAATGGCTTTATGTACTTCTACAGATAGTTTTCAGAGTCTGTTGTCCTGAACTATGGTTAGGAAAGTAACTGTCTTGGAAATGCCCTCTTCTCACTCAAAATATCTGCTCTGGGTTGATTCTGAGTTGAAGTTATTATTGCCAGTGATTACTAAAGATAATGTCTTTATTTCAGTGAACTAACAAATGTTCTACTAGCACGTTTTGTTTGAAAATGTAAATGGACTTTTGCCTTAAAAGGCTCTACTTTCATGGGAAGATTGGGTCTTCCACATGAAAAAAGCAAAGATTTGAGTAAACCCAGGAAATATTGCAGGTGAAAAACATCTTAGAAGTTGCCATTTCAGGCCACCCTCATATTCTCACTTTCTCATATGGCCTTGATCCCCATCTGTGTGTCCTGCTGTAGTCACGGTGCCTCGTCCTGCTTCCCTTTGCTGTATGAGGACATCATGGTGTACTGGGAGATGAAATTCAATCAACTACTGTCATGAAACAAGCAGCATAACAACTCAAAATTAAAATATTTGTTCATCAGCTTTTTTCCCCCATGAGGCAATGCTGGCAAGAAGGGGGAAAACCACACATAGCTAGGAGGCTGACTGCATTCCTTGACATGTCACTTCAATACACTTATCAGCTTAGTAATGATGACAATGTCTTACTATAAGTAGTGAAGTAAGTGGCAGAAAGCAGCCAATATGCTTATCAAATCCCTTGAGGAGTTTGGAGAGTGACAAAGAAAAAACATCTTTCATCTTGCACATAGACCAAACATGATATGTAATCACAGAGAAAGAGCACACAACAAGCCAGTCTTTGTCAGCTGTCTAATTATAGTTGCAGCCAACTAAATAGCAGCAACATGCAGTCCTCATTAAATCTGCTGTGTACAGAAATTATTAGGGTCCAGATAAGCTGGGACAGAGAGGGACTGGACAGAAGTCATGCAGGGGGAAAATGGTTCAAGGTTGAGGAGCCATTCTATGGACCCCCATCTTTGTTGTCCAAGGAGCTGAAACACTAATATTACCAGGACCAGCCTATTATTTTTAGCAATTCGATTTATGAGCCACCCAGGAATGCTAAGGACAATTATTCAGCCACTATCTGTGATACTTTTTGAAGTGCTTTCCTGATGAAAACTTTCCTTCCACCTTTTTATGATCATGTTTTTCTTTGCTTTGGACTTTTTTATGTTGTTTTGTTCACTGGTAGGAGGTGAGTCTGCCACTCTTCTCGAAACACATGAACGAATAAGTAAATAAACCTTCTAGGCTTTTGGTACAAAAGAATGCTGGTCGCATGTGGGCAGCTGTCATTAGAGTAACTGTCTTCTGCTTCACTTCTGATCATGTGCAAACCAGACCCTCAAACTATATTAATGGCTTAATACAGTAGCAGTAGCTGAATGATACAGGAATAGATCAGATCAGCATTTTTCTCATGAAACAGTTTTTTAGGTAATCATGAGATTAAAAAGTAATGATAACTTATGCAAGAAAACAAACACCCCATGTTTTCCTTGGGCCTGGAGATGTTTAAAAGCAACCTGAAAAATCCTGTGAATTTTTCTACAAAAAGCAAATGACTCTGCAGGCAGCTGCCGCCAGGACAGAGAGCTCTTGCTGTGTAGCCGGGAGCAGGCAGCACAGGGAGGCTTCTGTCAGGTGGAGAAGGGATATAAGCTCCTCTCTGCTCCTGCCTCCCTCACCTCCACCTCCCTCCTGGCACTGCTGGGTCAGCAGGAAGGAGTGAAGGGCTCCATCCACTGTCATCTTTCCTTTTTCATTAGAGCCTGACAACCATTGTTTCTAGACTTAAATGTTTTCAACTTTAAATACATACATCTGAGCAGAGGGGTAGTATATACAAGCTTGTCACTCAGAGCCAGGGGGTATCCACAGGAGCTTTTGGGTCTAGAAAGGCATATATGCATAAAATGCAAGACATATTACAGATGATTTGCTTCTATTTATTCTCAAAGACCAATGTGAAGGAGTTTAAGGGCTGAATTCGTTCTTTGCTGTACACTGAAGTCAACAGAGTTAGACCAGGACTGTGTTTGGCAGTATTTCCATATCCTCCAATTCAGCATGGAATATGTAATCATCTGACAGAGGATTCAGTATGTTTAGTTGTATAACTGCTAGAACAGATAAAGGATCAGCCAGGCAAACAGTGAAATATGAAAACGGTTCTCGTAAAAACATCCCAGCCTTGGGGCATGCATCTGCCAAGACTACTCCGTGGTGACATGAATGGACATAGCATTTAACTACTCTCCAAGAGGAGAGAGAATTACAAGGAGGTGGGGAAAGCAGAAGAAGCCAGAGCAATCCTGCCAACAATAGCAGGTTGCAATACTTAATCTTATTGCTTGTGCCAATGCGCTTCGAAGCTGCTGTTGTTTTTATGAGGAAAAATGCAGAAAAGACTAATCTGTGTATTTATGTCTGTCTGGAAATGTTATAAGTGCCGTGTGGTCATTTTGATTCCAGAACCAATGGGGTTGGTATTCCCAGGATGGGGAGATTTGGACAGGGTGCCATAACTCAGCAGCTACATGTGGGACCGAAAGCAGAGAGAGTGAGTAAATGGAGGGGTTCAGTAAAGTGGGAAACAAACTGGGAACCTTACCCACATTTCCAAAAAACAATTTTCTATGGCTATTTAAGCTCAGTGCTACAAATCATATGCCTTTGAGAAGTTCTAGAGCATCATCTTTAGTCCTTTCATAACAAGCTTCCTTCTTATGCAGTTAATTTGCTCTTTTTTTTTTTTTTTTTGGGGTATGACTGTAACTGATAGTGTTATTTTGCAAGAGTTTATGCTAGTGAGACAAGCATCCTGTGTGCCATAAGCTTTAATGAACACACAGAAAAAGTTCAATAAAAGGGCAGTGGGAGCGTGAACTTCCTTCCATGACAGTGTTTTCCTGTGTTTTCCTGTATAACATTGTATAGCATAAAGGACTGCACCTTGTTATTGACTCCTCTTTCTGTTCTCAATTACAGCAGAGCATTTCTTTAAAAAATGTGGTGGGTTTTTAATGGTGGCTACTGTGGTTTGGTCTTTGGTCCCTGTGAGAAAATGGAGGAGATTCTTTTGACAGTGACAGCATAAGTTGTAAATATAGTGCTGACTTTTTGTGGGCACTAGGGCCAGTATACAGATCACAGGCACACTGCATAGGTTATCAATCAATATTGGTACAGGGCAGGCTTAATGTGATAGGTGTCTGCATCCTGCTCCTGTTCCCTACCTACTGCCATTCCCACTAGCTCCTGGGGGAGTGGGTGCTTTGGTGTCAGGTTGTGTCATTGGTCATAGAGCAAGAGGGAAGAGTCGGGTTTTCTGCTGGCTTTTTGAAAGGTCTGCAGAAAAAATGGAGTTGGATTCAATGGGACATGCATTCCCCACGGAAGGTAGAAGAATAACACAGATGAGTTGCTGCTACTTCATATTACTCTTTGGTTACACAAAAACATAATACACTTATCTGTCTTTCCTATCTGATCCTGTCATAGTAGTCTCCGTGCTGTCTAAGGGTTTGTTTGATAATGTGTCTCTGGTGGTTTGTACAGTTTTGATTTAATCCAGCTAAAACTTAGCTCTGTTTGACTGGTAAAAGACAGTGGCATGTAGAAGTAAGGCTTCTTTGGCTTTCTTTGTTGGGTAGGACAGATACTTGGCAGATGAGTTACCCAGGGACCTAGGGATTAAAGTGAACCTTGAGTTTCTTTCTTACTTAAAAGTCTCCGTCACTCCAAACTTGACATTTTTCTTCTATATAAACCCTAAAGTTCTGCAGGCAATAAATGTTTTCTAAATGGCAGTTGTCCATGAATGGTGTAGCAGGATGTTAATTATCTGTGATGTGTTGCACATCTCTATACAGGATCTCTTTTGTCAGTGAAGTGTTACTTCTGAGAGAAATGAAACTTATGTTGACAGGTAAGGAGGTGAAAATTAACATGATTCTTGTCTAAAACAGATTTATCTGAGCTTCAAAAAAGATTTCTTGGTGAACCGGCCTAAACCTGGACTAACCCAAGCCCTAAATATTTTGCTTCCATTAGATATATCTGTAAAAGCTTTAATCTTTTAATAGTTCAATACCTGTTAACGTTCCTACAATTTTTAAGGAGTGGAAAGAGCATTTCCACAATAATAGGATCATATTTTGATATTCACTCAAGTTTGTGACCTTCCAGATCCAAATCTGACTGTTTAACCTGATAGCCTTACACAGCAAAACTGAGATTTCAGAAGTGTCCTATGCTAATGGGAATTTGAGCTGAAGTGGAAGACTGAAACACTTCCTTTGGAAAAGAAATAGGTAACAAGGAAAATGAAAGTTCAACATCAAGGTACTTCAAATACAGATTCCCACATATTTTGTTATAATTTGTATTGTTAATTCTGTTGAGCCATTTCTTCTTCATGTTATCTGGGACTACGTTTCTCAAGGATACAGGATGGAGAGAAGGAGAAACTGTCCATCAGATTTAAATAAAAATAGATCAAGCAACAAATAAATAAACTTTGCACTCGTGTAGTCAGACACTCACACTGCGTAATATCATATGAAGTTTATCAGAGGACTTGGAACTCTTACGTTGGCTTCATTGCCAAATTTCTCCTGGGCAAATTACTATCCGTCTTTCTAAATTCTCTTGGTGTTTTCTAATGGAGAAAGAAAAAAGGTTTGCCACGTGCTGAGGCTCTGGACTGCACTTAGGTCTGGGCTCATCGTCTGTCTCAGTGCATAGTCCCTGTCTGAGAAAGGCAGTGGTGCCAAGCTCTGTGGGTCAGTTGTCCTCTGGGCTGATAACTTGGGATGGATGATCAGGGAATGAATTATGGAGGCAAGCCTTAGCAGGTGAAAGTCTTCCTCATCCCCTGTTCTAGATATCTGCATGCTGCTACTGTAATAGCTCCAACTCTTGCTTGCTTTTTTTCCTTAGAAGCTGTTACATTTCACTAGCATTATGGATGGGTGAAATGACTCTTGCAAGCATGTAGCACAAATGACTTGTATGAGTGCCACAGTACACGGAAGAAATCTGAGTCATAAATCATCATTAACATGTGCTGGAAAATGTATCTGTGCCCCAGCGGTTGTAGGTTACTCTGTCGGAGCACTTGACACAATATCCACAATTGGTGTTGTTTGGTAGGGACACAAGTCCATAAAGTTTGAGTGCTAATGGCTGCTTTAACAAGCATGTCAGATTTGGCTTAATGAATTTGTTAATATCAAGCAACTTTCTTACTCCAAACAATGGTGTTGGTAATTCACAAGCTGTTATTCTTGGAGCCCCACTTTAACAAAAGCCAGCCTCTCTGTCTGAATGTTGCTGCTTTTATATTTTATTGCAGAAATTACACAAAAATATTTGGCTTGTCTAATGAGGGCTTGACAATATAGTATATATTGCTGAAAATGTGTCATCGCATTATTCCTACAAAAATAAACTTTTGTGTTTGTTTTTCCTTGTCCACTGGCATTTTGCTAGTTCAAACTGGGGAATACGGGATGTCTATGTAACTTGTCTAATAATACAAAACAAATGATATGGGTGTAATGCTGGCATTATCAGGGCTACATAGATCGTTCCTTTGCACTTACGCTTGTTTTCCTCCCTCTTTAGATCTATAGGTTTAGACTGCTGTTGGCATCTGTAGTTTCAGAGGCTTTAGGAACACTGTGTTTAACCTCCCTGAATGTCCTTGTTAATCCGTGTTCTTACATGCGCTGGATCATGCAATTTGCTTTGCAGGAGGCCTTCAGGGCCAGGAAAGCTTATTGTGGTTATCTAATCTGACCTATTTCATTATGGAGGTCACTGAATAGCCCCCACAGGATTTCCTGCAGCTGGGAGAGAGAGTACTTGAAGAAAGTTTTCCATTGTGATCAGAGGTGGCTGAAGGCTTTTTGGCAGTGTAGGCAAAGTTTCCTTTCAGGGCAGCAGCAGAATGGGTTGTGAGAGGAAAAGGGCTGGAATGGGCCAGGGGATTTCAGGAGGTGGGGGTGAGGATCTGGGACTGGTCAGGAAGACTCTAGTATGGCAAGTGTGAGATCAGTGAGGTTTTGGACACCATAAGTGTCAAACAGCTTAGGAAAAATTACGGAGGACTGAAGAGAAGATATGGAGGTGATTAAGGTTATTTTTTGGCAGGTGTGTGATTCAGGAGGAGGTCACAGGGCAAGCTGCTTTGAGGTAGAAGCTTCTCACATAGATGGAGAAGAAAGGTCATGGTTTCCAGAGAAGGGATGGAAGAAGGGAAACTTTTGTGCGAGGTCCAAGTGGGGGGCCAGGAAGGATTTGAGAGACTTGGAAAGTTTGAGGGGACTGTCATTTGAGGCAGAGATCTCTCTTCTTCCCCCCTCATCCAATCTGATCCCTTTCCCTCTGGTTTTGCCTTAAAGCTCTCCCACTTTGGAGGGGTGTGAAGCCCCAGCTGTGCTTCACACAGCAGCTGATCCCTCTGGGTGAGAAACCTGTATCTATTTTACAGTTCCTATTTGTCTTACCATGCCTCAGGGGACTAAAGCAAATAGATGGGAAGGAAGCATGAGGCTGAAGGGAGACCTGGGGAGCAGTCCTATCCACTTCTGCTGCTAGAAGCCTCAGGATGGGGCATGAACTGCTTCCCACTCCACCTGTGCCCCATCACCAATCCCAGTTCCTCCCCTGGGGCAGGATCAGGGCATTACCCCAGTATCCAGCTGAGCTCCACCTCTTTTCTGGCACTTTAGGAGAAGGCAGCTTGTGGATCTCTTCTTCCTCCTTCCTGGGGCTCAGCCCTACTCACCTGCTGCTATGATTTGGCTCTGATCTTAAATAAAAGCCACACAATTGGTGAAAAGTCTATCAATCAGTGCTCTTGGTAAGTCCTTTCAAAGAGTGTTGTGAAAAACACACTACTTTACTAGTTTGAATCTATTTGCCACCAGAAGCTTGGGAGAAAAAGAAAGGGAGCAGAAGTGCAAAGTTTGGCAAGGCTGGTCAACTGCTGGAAAAATGGATGGCAAAGAGGGCTTTTCTCTAGACACAGGGTTAAGAAACACAGGGCAGAGCGAAAAAGCTGACACGAATTGGATTAGGCAGCTAATGAAAGATTGAAGCAATATATTATATTGCTACTGCAGAGCAAAACAAATACCTTCTTCCCAGAGATGAGAGATAAGGAAAGAAGTGGGTATTTATTCAGTGTAGAGTGCAAAAAACTGATGGTTGTCCTGTTGGAAGCAGGATTGTTGGCTCTGTGAGGGAGAAAGTGGGGAAGACTTAAGACTTTCAAACCAGGACTAAAGATTTATAAACTGTTCTTGTAAAAACAAAGGAGAATTTTGCTTTTATCACCAGAATTTGTCAAATATTGTATCTTCTGTCCACTTTAGTATGCCCAGACCTGATTTTTCAGAGGAAGTCAGTGTGCTTTGTGTAACACACAGAGGAAGTAGCTCAATCCTGTGGAGGGGAGTCAGGCCACCTAAATATGAAAGTACAGCCATTGGCTTTGTACTCTCTCCTTTTCTATTAGCCATGCTGCTTGACCTATGACTGGAGTCGTAGTTAGTTGAGGACTTTCTGAGGGCTTTCTGTTCCTTTCATGACACAGAGCAAACCCCACAGAATAATGGTGCAAGAAGAAACCATAAAGCTAGACTATTGCTTGTTGGATGCTGGACTGAATAAGCTTGAGCAAAGGGACTTACCTGGAAAGTATAGGAAAACAAAATAGGATGGCCCAGTGTCCGCTTACCCATTTTATTGGTAGCAGAGAAATACTAACTAGAATGAAAATCAAAATGGCTTTTCTTAAGAACTGATTGGGTCCTAGGAGAATATTTGCACAGCTCCATCTCTTGGGAAAAGTGCTGTCGCTTCCTTCAGCATGCTTCCTTCAGTGTGCTTCCTTCAGCGACTGAAGGAAAGAGCATTATGGAGAAATCAGGTTGCCCCAGATGAGGCCTGGGGGTTCGGCCAGCTGTTTCAGGCGTGCCGTGGGGCCAGTACACATCTGGATGCACTAGGTGGCAGGGTCTGCCCGCAACACGCTGTGGGATGGTGTTTGCAAGAGACAGAGCAGCAGGTGGAGAGCATATTTCCTTCGAGATGCCAAAAACGAGTCCAAAAGATCTCTATCTGAAGATGGTATGCAATTCATTATCAAATGCAAAACAGCCTGCTCTGAAATAGTTCACTGATGAGCAAGTCTTACATTTAATTGATTGAAAAGGCAAAAGGAGAGTTTTGCTATCAAAACGTCTCTGAGCGTTGTCTTCAGGTAGAAAGAGAACACCATGGGAAACAGCTTGGTGACCTCTTCCTCTGCCCTTTTGAATATTAATACATTTAAACTGAATTGCTTGTTAAGTCTTGGGCAGACAGATTCATGTTTGCGCTCATATCCTGTACTTGACCTGACAGAAACAGATTCTTGCTTTGAAACTGTGCTCAAGAGGAGCAAACTGCAGGTGTGTGCAAAGGGCCCCCTGGCCAGTGGGGACAGGACCTCAGGTGTTCTCTGCCAAAAGCCTGAACCTTTTTTGAGCAGCCTTGGTCCAGGGGAGGGCTTTTTGTGAACAGAATGTGGCTGGAGATGCTGGTGGCGGCTATGAGAGGTATGAGAAAAAGGAGAAATCATATCCTTGGCTCTGCAGGAGATACTGAGTTGATGTGATTTGGCTGGAAGTTAGTAACAGGACCAAGACTGGTGCCAAATATGCTCACTGAAGCCCTGAGCTTGTGTCTGGAGTGAAAGCAGGTGTAAGCTAGTTTCTGTCGTATAGGCCAAAGACGTTGATATTGTCTGACAGAAAGAAGACCAAGCTTGGGAACAGCAATAAACCTGACCTCAGTATTTGAATGTGCTCACCGTCAAAGTGCACTTTGATAAAGAGACAGTTCCTATTTCTCTCCATTGTCAAGCACTGTCATTTTCAGCCTTCTCTCTGTAGATTTTAATGCTTTAGGTATACTTTTTCTGGATAAGATCCATGCCTCTGCTGGAAAAGTTTTAAGGATCTCTAGGTCACAAAACCTTGAAAACCACCAGTATGGTTGTAAAATTCTCCCTTTGTACTTGAGAGGTATAAGGCAGGCCCAAACTAAAATGGGAATCTTCATGAAGAGCCCCTATGAGGGACTCCAGAGAATCTTTTTTCTTTTTTTTTTTTGTAAATTGAACAGACTAACAGAATTAATTCAACCTGGCTTTCTAATTTTAGGAAATGACTAAAGGTACTTTAGATGATGACTTCATGTGGGCTTCACTTGTTTTGGCTGCTCTCTGACAAACAAACAGTTAAAATACAAACATCAGCAGGTGGTGGACAAGAGTCAAACACACCCTCCATTTATGCATTTTTTTCTGAAGAATCCACCTATGAAAAGGCAATATTACTTTTCCCCACTGCTAAATTTGCAGAGTATCCTCTCCAGTTCATGTAGCTTGAAGTGCAAATTGGCTCATTCTTTCCCATAGTAGCCTCTGGTCTATTGGTCTTATTGCACATAATTAATTTTGTCTGTAAACTTCTGATCCCTCTTCCCACATCACTTGCTGCTTATACCACTGAAATAGCAGCCATTGCTTAATTTCTTTTGATCTACAAAATATTGAGAGAAAGTATCTTTTTCCTGTCAAGATCCATCCTGACCAAAACCTGTATTTGATCTGATATACTTGGAATGACAAATAAAACCACAGGTAAAAAAAAAAACTAACAAGCGGATACTTTGCCAGGTAAGCAAAGAAGAAAGTAAAGCTGCCCTGTTCCTTGCTTTCCTTTTCTTGCAAATGAAAAGGAAACTTTCAGAGGGCTGTGAGTCAGTGAAAGCACTTTATGGCACATAGACAAAGAGGGCAACATTCATTGCCCTGCCTAGGTTTGAGTACCATAGAAAGGGACTATCAAAGAGAGAGACCTCAGCTTCCCGAGATGATGTGGAGCCAGCTGTGGTGTTTGCTTTTGGTGGTAAATGGAGGGGGGCTGCATTCCTGATTGTCCTCAGACTGTTCAGGGAGAGCTCGGAATTGCTGCTTCCTCCTAAAGTCTGACTCCCTGCACAGCAGCTCCAGCATATGCCAAGGGCCTGTCAGGCTGTACCCAGGGATCATGCAGGTCCCTCAGGTCATGCCCCGAGTGCTGAATGCTTCCCATACAGTGAGTTTTTACTGCTTGGAGTCCATAAAAATGCCTTAATAAAAATTGGCATAAAATTTGGGCAGCCTTTCAAAGTTAGGGCAAAGCAAATCCTCCTGAGCTGAAAAGCTGCATTTCAGCTGTGTGTGACCACTTGTGAATTAACTCTACACCTCTAGTTTTTTCACTGCTTCAGTAGATGCTCCTTTCACTGGTGATTATTCACTCTTTCCTCTCCACTTAGTCCAGTTAGTCATGTCTCTTTTTCTTTTACTGGCTGATTCCACTTTCCCCAACTCTCCTTGCCCATGTTTTTTATCCCGTCTCTGCTCTGGTGCCCTACCAAGATCCTTTGTCAGTTAGAGTGCTCACTTCATTAGCAACACTCGACACTCATCTTGACTTCTTCCAGCAGACAAGTCTGGAAGAGACCAAGGCAAGATCAGGAATGGCAATCCAAGTGCGCCAGCAAAGTGCACAAAACTAGTACATATGAATCAGTAAAGAGTTTTGCCACCAGACTCTGGAACAAGAAAGCACTGGTAATCATGAGATACAGAATGTTTTTAGCAGTGTACTGGAATGAAATCTAGGTTTTCCAGGTTCTTGCAACATATATCTTTATTTCTAAAGGCTCTGTGAAAAGAAGACACTGAGGAGGAAACTTGGACAATCTGGGGTGATGCATGTCTGTCTACAGGGGCACAGCTGTAGTTTTCTAGCCTGTGTTTGCAATGGCTTATCTGTCAAGTTTAAGGAGCAGTCTGTGGCCCCAAGAGTAGCCTGAGCCTGATTCAGTGCTGAATCCAAATACAGCAGGTGGACTTTCCTCTTGTAAATGCTTTTTTGTTTCCCACAATGGCTTCACCACCAGTCAGCCCTGACCAGGCTGAGTTCACTCAGCAAGTACCTCAACTCAATCACTTGTTTTTGGTTTGTCTGGGGAAAAGAGGAAAAAAAAAAAAAGAGAGAGAAAAAGAAATCCCAGGAAAAGTGAACTTTTCTGAGAATGATGGTTGTTTGCTAATTCGTTTCAATTTTATATGAACTATTTGGATTGGCTACAGCGGAGCTGCCAGGTGGCTAAACATGCCGAGTGAGTGTGGTCAGTGCTTGGGACACGCACTGAGCTGAAGGCATCCAAAAAATTACTCCTGACCTTCATTTAGTCTGCCAATCACTGCAGGCTGCCCTTACATCACATATTTCACTAGCCAGTAAGAGATTCATAGAAGTTAAGGATGGAAAAGACCCGTTAGGTCACGCAGTCCATTTCCCCCCTTCCTACCCCTCCATTCCCTGAAGGTCAGCCCAGGGCTGTTCCCTATAGTTTTTTTTTTTTCTAGGGCTTTGTCCAGTCTTATTTGAAATGACTCAAGTGGTGGGGCTGCCAGCAGTTCCCTCTGGGAGCCTACTCCACAGTCTAATGGGCTTCATTGTTAATTTTTTCCTGATTTCCAGCCTAAAATATCCCTTTACTGGTTTTGTCCCATTACCCACTTGCACCACCTTCAACAGTTCCTCTCCTTCCTCCTTGTTAGCAGCATTAGCACTTCACACTGCTGAAGAACCAGTTAGCTAAGAATTCAAAAGCATTTTCCAAGAAGCAGGCACTATCGCTTCCTTTATAGTCATTGCAAAAAGAAGTTAAGGAGCTCGGAGAGAAAGTGAGTGATGACTAGAAGCAGACATGAAACTCACATCTCCTAACTCGTTTCATGGCCTTTATAGATAA